CCCCCCACTTCGGATTAATTGCATTTCAGATGGGTCTTGCAGTGTTTTTTCTTTTTGGTTATTTTTTTTCTTTGGCCGGAACGGATTAATTGCACTTCAGTGCATTCCTTTGGGAAATGGTGATTCGACTTATAATCATTTCGAGTTACGACCGGAATTCCAGAACCAAGTACGTTTGTAAGTCAAGGCACCACTGTATTCTAATGTGAAACCCTTGTAGCAAGACTGAAACAGAGCAAGGTTGAAGTACCCAATCTATTCTATTGTTTGGCTGAAACTTGCTTCCATTCAGCCTGTGATTTAATGGGAATTGGTCAGGGAAGAAAAGTAAAGTGAAGTTTTAGTGTTGATGGTCTTCAGTTTCTCTGCCTTAATTTTTCTCAGTTTATTAGTTCTTTAAGTTGCTGTGGAACTTTACCCCCTTTGCAACTTCAAGATTCTGAAACAGTCTCGCCTCAGAGGAAGTTAGTGCTGCCTCTGAACTCTACCACAGAGTGTGGGAAGAAGGTAAACTGCATGCAACCTTATGGCACCGTACTGCAGATTTCAAAGATGTCTTGTCTTCCCAGCCTGAAGCACAGCAGCAAAGAGTGGGAATTAAGTGACTTCCCTACATTTACCTCACGGTGCCCTTTTCCCCTTTGAAACTTCTGAATTAAGAGATTCTGACAATCTATTCTTGGCATAGCCAGTGTCTCTTCCTCCCAGTTCTTTCTGGTCCACTACTGTTTTACTTGGTTTCTTCACAGACACTTAGTGATCCTGGGATAAATAGTCCCTGGAATACTCATGGGTGTTAAAGAAGAGGCAACACTTCTCTGACTCTGTCCCAGTTTAACTTTGGAAAGGAAACGTGCTATAAAATTCTTTAAATAATATATTTAAAGGGGCAGTATTAGAGTGGCTGCATTATTTTCCCCCCCCTCCCGCCCCCACACACTAATTTAAATAGGCAGACAGATGGTTTGTCTGGGATGGTCGTTTGTCCATACTCTAAGTACCATCTTAGGTAAAAATGCCTTATAATTACAAAATGACTCTTATTCATGGATTTAAATTTTTCTCTTTTTCATGTGTGCAAGCATATATGTACAGTACATGGTAGTCCCTTACTGTGAAATGTAATGCTCTTCTTTTTAAAATAGATCGAACCCTGATATGTGGATAGCTAATGAATAATGTAACTTTGGAATGGCTTGCAGATACTTCTCTTTTGGTACTTAATTGTAGAATTACTGCAAGCTGTGCTCCTACTGCTGTATTCTCCCCATTTGACCACTGGTAGTTCAGTTTTGTGTTGCTCTTAGGATCCTTGAAGAGAGAGCCATCCGTGCCTACGTAATGCAAGAAAATATTAGCATGTCCGTACAGGCTGGGCTTTATCAAAGGGTTTTATTCCATATCCTGAACCACATTAAGTAGTACATCCCTGATTCATTTCTTAGTCTCTGCAGAAAAGGGCAACAGTAAATGGATTTGTCCAATTGAATTGTTCTGTTGGCTGCTATTACATTTGTCTAAATTTTTTTGTAAGAGCATGTTTTGTTTATTGACAATGTTTATGAATTTTGTTTGTTCATTAGCTTTTTCTTTGCCATTGAAAATCACTATTTGCTAGATTTGCTGTACCATTTTATTAGCTTTTTATATTGTTTGTCTTTTGATTTTACTTGATTTGATTTTTCTATGCAGTTTTAACTGGTTTGAGTATCATGTTTTTAAAGTTGAAAAAATTAAAGGGAAAGGCGAGGTGAAAATATTGTGGCCCTTTAAAAATTAACAGATTTATTTCAGTGTGTCAGGATCTATTAGTCTTTAAAGTGCTACAGTAATATAAGAATCTTAGAACTGCACATCTGGAAGGGACCCTATGGATCATTGAGTCCAGTCCCTGTCACGAGGCATAGCGGGGAATCAAACTCCCAATGTCTGGCTCCCCAAATACTTGAACTATTGAGCTGTCCCTTTTCCCCTCCTCCTCCTCCAGTTTTTCTCTTTAATGTTGCAAACATGCTGAGACAAACTAATACGACTGCTTATTTGGAAATTGCTGTTTTGAAAACTAAATGTGCACAAATAGATGATGAAATGATTTAAATCCCTGCTGATTTTCTTTTGAGTTTTGGAACAAAGCAGAGTAAACAGCAGGAATTTCCTTCTCAATGAAGTGAGCACACTGCAGTTAATTGCAGATGCACCTGAGGAAGTGAGTTGCAGTGAGTTGCGGCCAGATGGGCGGAGTATAAATCAAATCAAATAAATAAATAAATAAATAAATAAATAAAAACTTCTGCCAAATTAAGCTTATTATTTATTTATTTATTTAGGTTGTATAATACAGTATTGTACAGTGGTGCCTCGCTTAACGAGCGCACCGTACAACGACGAAATCGCATAGCGATCCCTTTTCTGGGATCGCTAATGCGATCGCTCAACGACGTTTAGATAGGACGAAACTCGCTTTGCGAAGATCGGCAAGCGTTTCGCTTACCGATCTTCGCAAAACGAAGCCCCGACGATCAGCTGTTTGGCGGACAAAATGGCCACCGGAAGCCCCGAAATGGCCGTGCGCAGCGTTTTCGTGCCCTCCCCTCGCTTAACGAGGGCGCGAAAATGGCTGCCGGCCATAGGAAGCATCGCTGAACGGTGAGTTTTCGGCCCATTTGGAACGCATTAAACGATGTTTAATGCGTTCCAATGGGGTTTTTTTATCCGTTCAGCGATGTTTCACTATAGCGAAGGTTAATCCGGAACGGATTAACCTTGCTATACGAGGCACCACTGTACTTCCCTCTGTGCCAAGGAACTACTCTGTGCTGTTTACAATAGATAAAACATGGGACAAAGATAAAAATTAAACACAGGGGGAACAAACTAGTAATTAACTATAAAAACAACTACTGTATAAAAACAGATGGCACCAATCAGTAACGCACAGAACAAAAGCAGATGAAAAATGGGTCAATTAGGGTCAGTGTGGAAAACCTCCCTGAAGAATAATGTTTTCAGTCGCCTTCTGAATATCTACAGGGAGGGTGCCAGGCGAAGCTCCTCCAGAACATTGGAACCACTGCGAAGAAGGCCCTACTTCTTGTAGAAGTCTTATGGTCCTCCCTTGGGGTGGCAACCCAGGGGAGCCTCTCCTGTGATTATTTAGTCATAAAGGTGTCACAGGACTTTGTTGTATCCACAGTTAAGTAGTTCCATATTGAAGTTAGGCTGGAGTAAACTATTGGCATTTGAAAAAGAAAGAGTAAAATAGGTAAAGGGTGATTAGAGTTTTTTAGTTCTCCTTTTTCAGTCAGCATTATTTGGAGGATCAGGGGAAAGACCATCTCAAAAGTAAACATTTTGTAAAGAGTCCCTTGCTTCTTCTGAAATTTCAGTTTGTCAAAAAGTAGATTGAGCTGACTGGATTATTATATAAAGGCACAGAAGTACTCTAATTTGAATTATTAGGTCCAGCAATTCACAAAGTATTTTTCTGGGGATTCAGGTATCATGGTCTTCCATTTGTACTGCTTGAAAAGAGAAAGATGGAACAGTTACACAATGCACCAGTGTTCATTACTATAGGGTTGGTGTGTGAGGAAAGGGAAGGGAGTACCATCACATCCTTCATGTTGAGAGTGATAGTCTAAAAACCATGAGCTTCCATAGTGCATGGATATATATCTGTGTAATGAGGAACCCAGAAGAATCTCCATATGTGAATGATGTTGATTATTGCTTCCCTGTATGAAGAGATCAATGGGAGATGAGTCTAGCCTGGTCCCTTTCCTCACATGTTCATGTTAACCCTATCCTAAATGCTTGATCAGGGTTTGGCCTTTGACATATAATACTGGAAACTGTCTGGGAGCATCCCCATTGTGATGCTGTAAATGAAAGAATGGAGTGAAGTTATAATGTTCTTTGATGATATACTCCAGCAGACTTCATTTATCAGCACATGGAAGATGTCAGAATCCCCAACTTTGTCACAAGAACAATATGAAGTAAAGTTAAAGTTAGGCCTCCTAGAGGTTTTTTGGTGGAAAAGTCTTTATCCTTTCTGATTGCCAATAAAAATCTAGTTGGGTCCTAATGAATATGAACAAATCCAGGGTTAGTTTCTTGTGGATATTTTTATGATTTTCACATTGTTTAGAAGAGAAGCTTGCAACTTGTAGTATACTGTACTGTGTTTCCTTGAAAATAAGACAGGGTCTTATATTAATTTTTGCTCCAAAAACACATTAGGGCTTATTTTCAGGGGATGCTTTATTTTTTTTCATGCACAACAATCTAAAGGTAAAGGTAAAGGTAAAGGTTCCCCTTGACAATTTTTGTCCAGTTGTGTTCGACTCTGAGGGGCGGTGCTCATCCCCGTTTCCAAGCCATAGAGCCAGCGTTTTGTCCGAAGACAATCTTCCATGGTCACATGGCCAGTGCGACTTAGACACAGAACGCTGTTACCTTCCCACCGAGGTGGTCCCTATTTATCTACTCGCATTTACATGCTTTCAAACCGCTAGGTTGGCGGAAGCTGGGACAAGTGACGGGTGCTCACTCCGTTGTGTGGATTCGATCTTACGACTGCTTGGTCTTCTGACCCTGCAGCACAGGCTTCTGCAGTTTAGCCCACAGTGCCACCACGTCCCTCTAACAATCTACATTTATTCAAATAATGGCATGCCATCTTCTTCTGGTTGCTGCACAATGCTGCACAATGGTGGAGGGTGGGGTTTCACTTAACTGGGGCTTATTTTGGGGGTATTATGAGCATCCTGAAAAATCATACTAGGGCTTATTTTCAGGTTAGGTCTTATTTTCGGGGAAACAGGATAGTAGTACATAAACTGGGGTGGGAAGGTCTGAGATTCAGGAGCTTTAGAAGGAGGGACACTTGCAGTGTTTGTGCAATAACAGCATATTCAGGAGGGTAGTACTCTCCAGTATAGCTTAGAAGCTTCAAGTTCAAATCTTTGCTAAGTGTTGTTGCTCTTTTCCTTATATAGGTGCTGCTAGCAAGTCATGATGGTTGAATCTGCCTCGGAGACAATACGTTCCACTCCCTCCAGTCAGAATGGTGTCAGTGGGCTAAACAATCCAACTGATGGAGGAGGTGGTGGTGGAGGTGGAGGTGGTGGAGGATGTGGAAGAGAGGGAGGAGCCAGTGGAGAAACCAATGGAGAGATGAGCCCAGTGGAACTCCTGCATTTTCAGCAGCAGCAGGTACTAAGAACTTGGTTTTTCAGTATCCTCTGTCTTGTTCATGTAGTTTTTGAATGCTTCTTTCAGAACTGTTTTCAGGAACAGACTGCTGTAAAGTGAATTCTGTTTCCTTCAGTTTGCCTCTCAGTTGCTTTCTAATAGCATTACAGAGAAAGGCATGGCCTTTCAGATTTTGTTGGACTGCAACTCCCAGAAACTTTAGCCAGTGGTGTGGTATGCTGGGATTTGTAGTCAAACAACATATGGAGGAATTTATTTATTAGATTTCTACCCCGCCTCCCCCTAGACAGCGTCTACTCTGGGCAGGATGTATTCTGCCAAACACTTTCTTAAAATGTGGAATTCAGTTGCCTCAAATATTGCGGTAGCAGTATCAAGGATTTCAGGCTTTGGTTTTCTCCAAGATACGTACAGTATTTCCTCTGTTACTTATAGTTGTGAATCATATTATCGATAATATGCTGTACAATCTTGATCTAGGAGCCTTGTGGTACAGTAGTTAAACTACAGTACTGCAGCCAAAACTTTGTTCATGACCTGGGTTCAAAAGCTGACAAATTGAGTACCCAGCTTTCTGAAGGGGGCATTGTGTAGCCTGCATAATTTAAACATTGTAAACTGCCCAGAGAGTGCTTTAAGCACTATGGGGCAGTATATAAGCAGCATTCTTTGCTTTTTGCTTTTAGATTTGGTTATTTTTAAAAATATCTTAAGCAGAGATGGAAGATGCTGTTCATTTTCTGTACAGTTTGAATTTGTTATGTCACATTCTGCATCAGTCTGATTTTTTTGTTAATTCCATCAAAATGCATATGCATTTTATTTATTTTATGTAATTCCTATCCTCCATTTCTCCCATAAAGGGACTCAAGGAAGCTCACAATAATTAAATATATGTGAAAATTCACTGACATTTTTGTACACAGTTTTCCCTAGTGTACATGTCTCCATTTGACTTTTTTGATGGAAAATATATCACAAAATACAGAAAAATGTAAACGTCAACGAATATTTGTGTTCTGTGGTTCATGTATTAGTTCAGGACATGTGAATCAAATTAGCGCATATACATGTATTAGGCCTGAATATTTTAGTCTCCAGAGTCTTGCTTTAGTATAGAACCCACACAAAACTTGACTTACAATGCAAGACTTGCATTATACATACAGTGGTGCCTCGCTTGATGGGAATAATTTGTTCCATTCAAATTGTTGTTGAGCGAAATCCTCGTCAAGTGAAACGAAAAGCCCATTGAAATGCAAGCGAAATGCTCGTCAAGTGAAACGAAAAAGCCCATTGAAATGCATTGAAAACCGGTTCAATGCGTTCCAATGGGTGAAATACCTCAGTGTCCAGCGAAGATCCTCCATAGGGAGGCCATTTTCCAGTGACTGTAATGCGAGGAATCTGTCCTAAAGCACATTGGGGAGCCATTTTGCACAGCGGGTGGCCATTTTGAAACCCGACGATCAGCTGTTTTTGATCCTCGTTAAGCGAAACATCGGTTCCCGAAGCAGGGAACCGATCAACATTAAGCAAAAAAAAGCCCATTCAGTCATCGTTTAGTGATCGCAATAGTGATCGCAAAAAACTAATTGTCAAGCGATTTCCTCGTCTAACGAGGTAATTGTCAAGCGAGGCACCACTGTATTATGTGGTATTAACTACATGTACATAACTGTAACTGTTTACAAATTTCACCTGCTTTTGTTACTATTAGTTTCTTTTTACAAAGGATGAATGGCAGTGACAAAAATGTCTCAGCAATATACGTATTGCTTTTTGCCATTGAGGTGTTTTTTTGACATAGCATGTGCAGTGTCTTAGAAAACAAAAAAGTTTCATGCCATTTTTGCCATACTGTTATGCAGAGAGGCAAAAATAAGGTATATTGGTTGCTAGTAGATTGACCTCATTCAGAGGAAAAACACTTTTTATATGCACAGACAGATACGTTGTGGTCAGGACATATCACATAACATGAGAAACGCACATTTCATTTATTTTATTTTTGTTGTACCTTCTGTTGTCTTGTTGACCATATTTTTATTGTCTATTTCTGGCAAAATGTGAATTGTGTTTTCTGGCTCTAGGTATTTGAGTGAAATACATTTGATTGTGCACACAAAAACACTCCTTTAAATATGGGGCATTTATACCCTCCAATAGACTAGAATTCTTACTGATACCAGAAAGTACTACATAGCTCAGTGCAAGTTGTTATTTTAAAATCCTTGTATGTGAAATTTAAAATATAAAGCCTATCAAATTTTGCTTCTGTCCCTAATGTTAAGTATGAAAAACTGCTTTTGCACTGTTGTCATAAATAGTATCTCAAGAATGCCACCTGACAAATTTGTGTAGAAACCACTATTACAGCATGTGAAATTACTATAATTTGAACTAGTAAAGTGCTTTACCAGAACTATATAATTGTTTTTATTTATTTACTCAACCCATACATAAGTAGTTAACATTCAATGCATGTTAGTGTGAGGACACATGTTCATCTTTGAAGTGTTTTATGCTGCAAAAAGGGGCAATGTTAGACCCGTGTTAGTGAAAATAGCATATGTCATTCATGACACCCATGTTCATTGGGATGAAGAGAGCAGACACCTCATTCCTCATCATCCAATGTCTGTCCACTACCATTCTGTTCATCTGCCTTTGAATGTCATTGTCACCCGCTTGCATGTAGCTACCTGTGTCAGTATCTGTCATTGTCATGGATTTGCTCGCAGTAAGTGGTCTTTCTGCATGAACACTAACTGGAGAATAGCCTGCCTAGCTGGGGGCTTTGTTTTAATCACAGGTAGAAAATTGCTGTCTTGTTATTATTAAAGGCATGAAAAATGCTAATGTGTCTATTCTGCTTGATCCTTAAGTAACATAAACAGACTAGTGGAGATTTTGCCTTCTCTCACCAGCATCATGGTGGGATATTATATGGAGCATTATTCAAGTGCTTTTGCAATTGCATTTCTGCAATTTGTCATAGGAACCAAAGTACTGTAGGTCTGTAATCAATTGAGGAAAGGATTGTCAAAATTGTTGCATGTACAAATGAAAGAAGACTTATTGAAGCTTTACTGCAATGCCATACCATCAGAGTTTGCAGCCTGCAAGTGTTATGCAGTTCTACATCATAGAGTTCTTTTTTTAAAACTTAAAACACTGCAGACCCCAACTAGTTAGCCAAAAACGTAGAGCTTTTCCAAGCTCTTTTGCATGAACGTCTGTCAGTTCACCCAGGAAGGTCATTCTTTTTTTGTTGGTATGACAAGACCGCTATCACCCATGAAGAATATATAAGTTCAATCACATTTTTCAGATAGGAGCTCCATCTAGTCTTGGCAGTCAAAAGGGCTTTCATGAGATGCTATAAACACAGTCCACTCTTCAGCCAGTCGTATTGTACCCCAAATGCAGAAAATGGCAAAATCATATCATAGCTAATCTGGGTGTTCCTTTGCTAGAGGGAAGCAGTGGACGGGAGGGACAAGACAGCAGTGTTGTATTCAAGATGACTTTTTCTGAATTAACTGAATTAACTCAACAAACTGGGACTAAAGTTGTAGAGCAAAACATTTTAGAAAATTTGATTCAGGAATGGTTTTTGTAAATATAAATGAGGTTTTTGCTTAGTCATTAAGTCATGTCCGACTCTTTGTGACCCCATGGACCAGACCTGTCATCCCCTTCTCCTCTTGCCTTCACACTTTCCCAACATCATGGCATTTCCAGGGAATCTTCTCATCAGATGGCCAAAGTATTGGAGCCTCAGCTTCAGGATCTGTCCTTCAAGGGAGCACTCAGAGTTCATTTCCTTCAGAATTGATAGGTTTGTTCTCCTTGCAGTTCAGGGCACTCTCAAGAATCTCCTCCAGCACCACAATTCAAAAGCATCAATTCTTCGCGGTCAGCCTTCTTTATGGTCCAGCTCTCACTTCCATACATCACTACTGGAAAAACCATAGCTTTGACTATGCAGACCTTTGCTGACAAGATGATGTCTCTGGTTTTTAAGATGCTATCTAGGTTTGTCATCGCTTTCCTCTCAAGAAGCAGGCGTCTTTTAATTTAGTGGCTGCTGTCACCATCTGCAGTGATCATGGAGCCCAAGAAGGTAAAATCTGTCACTGCCTCCATATCTTCCCCTTCTATTTGCCAGGAAGTGATGGGACCGGTGGCCATGATCTTAGTTTTTTTGATGTAGAGCTTCAGACCATTTTTTGCGCTCTCCTGTTTCACCCTCATTAAGAGGCTCTTTAATTCCTCCTGACTTCATAAATGAGGTAGATACTGCCAATTTTCTGGCAAAATGTGAATTTTGCCTGGATTGACTTGGAGTGAATCTTAAAAACAACATCATACTTAAGTATTGTACACCACATTTCCAGAAAAAAACAAAAACAAAGCCCTACTATAAACATTCCCCTTGATTTTAAAACATTCTAGTTTATTGATTATGCCTGTTGCTTTGTTAATACATCCGAATCCTCTACACATTGTGGCAAGGTATTGTGTTTATAGTCATGTGCATATACTGGTGCATGTCTGTATGTCCACTTACAACTTCAGACAGTTGCCATGAATTCTTTTTGAGAGGTACCCCTATTAAGAGGTATTCAACTAAAGTTGTATACATTCCTTTTTTCTCTATGTTTTTCTGTGTAAAATGAGTTCATATGTGTGTTTGTGTATATGTGTCAGAGCTTGTAAAATTTACTATTTTGGACTACAAGTTCAAGAATCCCTCAGGAAGCATGACCAGTGACTATGCTCACTGAGGAATAGTGGGAATTTTAGAAAAAATAAGTTTTCCAAGTTCTGAAGTATGTGCCTCTATCAATATTATCTCTATATAGGTATATATCTTACTTCAGATAAGTATTGCTCTAATTTTATGACATGTAATGCAACATTTGAGCATGTGCACTATAGAGATACTTCCCTCTGTCAGAATATTTTCCTTAGACATTTCTATTTTGTTTAAA